CCCCGTCAAATAAAATGTGTCTAAGGTTGCTGAATTAAGTTAAAAGTTGTTACAGAAAATTGTAATAATTGTGGCTATGTTCATTAGAAAGGATCAGCATGTTTATTAAGGTTGTTAAAGAAGATTTGTCTTTATCTAGAGACACACAAATATTGATCAATAGTGTGTGTACCTGTGTCATTTCCCTCTTCAGTTTCTCCACAGCACAGGTGTTTCGTTGGACACCGTTGGACACAACAGAGAGAAGCTGCTTCAGAGCCATCACATCTTCCTGGACTTTATACATCGGCTTTGATGACATCCTTGCTAGTCCATCCTGGACTGATTTTTCCTCTTTAACATACTTCCTGTCAACAAACAAGTCAGACTCAGACTTGAAGAAGGGTGATATGTCGCTTTAAATTTACTTAACACGTTTGACACATGAACTTGGAAGTTAGTCACAAATTTCATTTAAACAAAAAGCAAGGCATATCTTAACTTCAGGCCTCACAGATTGTTAAAGTAGTGCAAGGTAATTTATCTAAACAATTTGATAGGCTTCAGTCCAAATATCAACACTTTGTGCAAGGTCAGCAATAAAAAAAATCCAACTAATTTGTCATTAGCGTACTGTCATCCTACATAATTATATACGGTATTTAACCTGTCTAAACCGGATGTCACTGGGACCAAACTATTTGGCCGGTTTACAAAGGTGTCCGGTTTATACAGGGTTGGCATGTCATTTTTTGAAAATACAAAAATGTAGTGTTTTGCATACGATCTGTATACAAGTCAATATAAACAACAGAGAAATGAATCACAACATTTAATTATTAACAAAATATACAATGTATAATACAAATGACGACCGACCCGACATTGGATAGTCCTTTTTTGTTTAGAATGTGTTTGCTTTAGATTGTAGCCGGCCGAGAGAAATTTAAGGATCGGAATAAACAGGATGTTTTCACATGGATTACTATATGCCAACTTTTGTGAAACAACACCGGTTTTTGGAATGGACAGGGTCCGGTTTATACAGGGTTTAACTTCTATGATTATATAGGGAATATGCCGGGACCACAAACCAAAGCCGGTTTAGACAGGGATCCAGATTAGACAGGGGCTGGTTAAGACAGGTTATACTGTATATAAATAAGAGCAACAATAATCTCTCACCTGCATGCACAGCTGCTGGAGATCATTCATTTTCAACTTAGTCGATAACCCAACCCAATATTCAGTTACGTACTGGTCATTTTTCACATTATTTCACAGGTTTTACTTTGTACTTATACTGAAATTTAAACTCAAATATATGAATGACAGTGTGCTTGATTATGAAACACAAGTTACAACTTGCATCTTTGTATACATCAATCTACCCATACTTACTTGAAGTCCTCCACTGTTAGCACAATGGCCTCAGGGATAAAAGTCTTCTTCAGAGCCTTACCATCCCTAAACCAGAAACAAATTGTATTTATAGCCCTTTACATTCATAGACAATCACATAACACACTGATAATGAACCTAAGACTAAATGATATGTGTTTATTAGTGCCTGCATCAATCGTATGCTTATCAGGTCCAACATATTTTCTCAAGGTAATCCATGCCTGGTGTTAATATCCAGGTCTACACACAGTACCTGTACAGTCTAGTGGGCTATTTTATATTGAGGAACAAGCGATTGGAAAATAGGTTAAGGTCAAATCTGCCTAAGTGACCCCTTAATCAAAGATTTACCACTGGGAATGAACTTAGAAGAAATAGATCATGCCAAGATGATCAGTGTGGAAACATGTTATATTTGAATTTGAAATTAAAATGGCAAAATTCTGAGTGTGTGTCTTTGGAGAAGTAATTGGGTAATCAGTAGCAGGATGTGAAGGGGTTGTTGATGTTCTTACCCGGGCTTAGCATCTGTTGCTGTTCCACCTGTAACAAGAGACAACCAACAATCAGTAAACAATGTAACAGGCTTAACTACAGTGGGTTAGTAATTTGTTGCCAAGACTTTACCCCCTAGAAGGTTGTTAACATGACACTACCTGTAGCAGTTAATGTACATGACTTGACGGGCTGTAGCTGCCTGTAAACATGACTTTACCCCCTAGAAGGTTGTGAACATGACACTACCTGTAGCAGTAAATGTACATGACTTGACTGGCTGTAGCTGCCTGTAAACATGACTTTACCTACAGAAGGTTGTGGACAGGACGTTAGCTGTAGCAGTAAATGTACATGACTACCTACATAAGGTTGTGGACATGACGTTAGCTGTAGCAGCTTGTCGACATGACTACCTACAGAAGGTTGTGAACATGACATTAGCTGTAGCAGCTTGTCGACATGACTACCTACAGAAGGTTTTGAACATGACGTTAGCTGTAGCAGCTTGTCGACATGACTACTTACAGAAGATTGTGAACATGACGTTAGCTGTAGCAGCTTGTCGACATGACTACATACAGAAGGTTGTGGACATGACGTTAGCTGTAGTAGCTTGTCGACATGACTACCTACAGAAGGTTGTGAACATGACATTAGCTGTAGTAGCTTGTCAACATGACTACCTACAGAAGGTTGTGGACATGACGTTAGCTGAAGCAGCCTGTAAACATGACTTTACCTACAGAAGGTTGTGGACATGACGTTAGCTGAAGCAGCCTGTAAACATGACTTTACCTACAGAAGGTTGTGGACATGACGTTAGCTGGAGCAGCTTGTCGACATGACTACCTACAGAAGGATGTGGACATGACGTTAGCTGTAGCAGCTTGTCGACATGACTACATACAGAAGGTTGTGGACATGACGTTAGCTGTAGCGGCTTGTCGACATGACTACCTACAGAAGGTTGTGGACATGATGTTAGCTGAAGCAGCTTGTCGACATGACTACCTACAGAAGGTTGTGGACATGATGTTAGCTGTAGCAGCTTGTCGACATGACTAACTACAGAAGGTTGTGGACATGATGTTAGCTGTAGCAGCTTGTCGACATGACTAACTACAGAAGGTTGTGGACATGATGTTAGCTGTAGCAGCTTGTCGACATGACTACCTAAAGAAGGTTGTGAACTTGACATTAGCTGTAGTAGCTTGTCAACATGACTACCTACAGAAGGTTTTGGACATGACGTTAGCTGTAGCAGCTTGTCGACATGACTACCTACAGAAGGTTGTGAACATGAAGTTAGCTGTAGCAGCTTGTCGACATGACTACCTAAAGAAGGTTGTGAACATGACATTAGCTGTAGTAGCTTGTCAACATGACTACCTACAGAAGGTTGTGGACATGACGTTAGCTGTAGCAGATTGTCGACATGACTACCTACAGAAGTTTGTGAACATGACATTAGCTGTAGCAGCTTGTCGACATGACTACCTACAGAAGGTTGTGAACATGACGTTAGCTGTAGCAGCTTGTCGACATGACTACCTACAGAAGTTTGTGAACATGACATTAGCTGTAGTAGCTTGTCGACATGACTACCTACAGAAGGTTGTGAACATGACGTTAGCTGTAGTAACTTGTCGACATGACTACCTACAGAAGGTTGTGGACATGATGTTAGCTGTAGCAGCTTGTCGACATGACTACCTACAGAAGGTTGTGAACATGACATTAGCTGTAGTAACTTGTCTACATGACTACCTACAGAAGGTTGTGAGAATATGAACATGACATTACCTGCAGCAGCTTGTGAGGTTTTTGGATCAACTCCTCCAAGTCCTGTCGTCTGTGGTTTGGTAGAGATGTTACTAAAGACACTTGTTCCTGTACCCCCAAGTCCTGTCGTTGCCCCACCCCCAAGTCCTGCCGTTGCCCCTACCCCGAGGCCAGTTGGCATCTTACCCCCCAGGCCGGCAGTGCCTAGGGAACCAAATCCTGCAGCGGTACTTCCTGTGGTTGCTAAATAAGGGAAGAAGAATAGTTTAGTCACTACAACACTAGAATCAGCTTAGCAACTATAGAAGCTAGGTTAAGTTTGACCTCTTCATAGACAGAAATGGGGATGGGTTTATTACAAGACTTTATCCTTAGTTACAAGAAGGTTTGAGGATACAAAGCCATAGTAGCATGGGTATTTCAGTGGTAAATTGTGATTCCAAAGCAAAACATTTTTGTCTAAACAAGAGTCCAGAACTGTTATAAGTATTGAAGTCTGGGCACTTTAAAACATGCTAGGGATTAAAACATAAAAAATCAGGTGCACAACAGGCAATAGATGTTGCTAGTAAGCCTGGTGAACTAATGTAAGATGTAACAGTATACTGTCATAATAATTGGCAGGAGAATTCTGTAAAGTGTTTACATCAAAACCAGGTGCAATTGCTTACTACTGAGTCATGATCATGTCTAGAAATAAAGCATTGAAAAGTTACATGAAAATATAACTGTGGCAATCATTCAATAAATTCAACTAAGGTACTTTTTATCAAATCTATTTGAGACTCATAATCATTTAACAGTTAACCATTAAAACCATGCCATTAGATAATCTTAATAGTGTTGGGAATTGCTTCAAAATTCATGATCAATCATCACTATTTCTCAAATGATTGATGACTGATCGATGACCGATCATGAAATAAAAGGGAAATAGATAAATGAGTTTCATGTGATGGATACTTTTTAAATACATATACATATATACATAGCAAGAGGCAATGTTGTATCAATGCAGTTTATGGAAAATGGAACAACACTAAATCCGAATATGACTTGTGATATGCTCATTTGAACCTTCTGATTTACCCTCCTCCTCATTGTAATTAATTATCATACTAACCCTTTCACCACTGTAGACCATAATGGACTTATCCAGATCAATGCATGGTAGAATTTATTAAAGTTACGTAGGGGTGAAAGGGCTAAATTGATATCTGGTTATAAAGCCACACCTGCTGGAGTTGTAACTTTGGCAGCAAAGCTGAACCCTGTCGACTGGCTACCGGTAGAAGCTGCTGTGGCAGTGTTGGGTTTGGCTCCAGGTAATGTGAGACCTGATCACAAAAAAAGCTAGATATGGTTAAGACTGACAACATAGACATCATGCTCAAATGATAACACAGGTAATGTAAATCACACTGAACAAAGGCAATAATATCAAGTCAAACATGTAAAGGTAGGTAACCTAATCATACATTACAACCAAATCAATGATCACCAGCGCTTCATCTAACTTGATAACGATTCGACTCATGATTCAAAGGTTGATACTACACAGACAGGACAAGAACAGACCCACCATGCGCCTGACCTTCCTCCCACACCATAGTCGATTTTTAGCAACAGTAACCTTCACTTAAAAAACTTTTTCAATCCCTATCACACATCTATATATCATAGTGTATCACCATGCAGTTACAAAAAGATTGGTTTTATAGATTTCCAAAAAAGGGCTGTACTTCCACAGTCTATTTTAGTAACGGTGACCCTGACCTTAGAAACTTTTCACAAAATGTAAAATTACAGAAATATTAGTCTTTCGTATTCTAAGATAGATGCCAGAAATGAAAGTTTGGACAGAAGGACACTGTTATTACTATAGGGCACTTGCATAGGCACAACGTACAGCCAAACCTCACCCAATAATATCCTGTACAGTCACATATGACAACAAAGTACACAACCACACATGATAAACACTGTACTCAGCAAGGCTATTCAATTTGGCCAATATCTGGGGCTAGTACAAAATTTGTCAGGGCTATTATTTTTTTCTCCATATTTTCTATGAAAATACAGCTCAGGTTATAATAGTAGATTTTTGTGAAATGCTTCCAGGCTAATATTTGACATTATATGAAACTATACAGGTGTGACCTTTGATAACAAGAGGCCCAAGGGCCTTAGCGGTCACCTGAGTTATATCATAGGTACTGGTAGCTTTATTTTATTGTTTAGATGTGATGTGGAAATCAGCATGTAAACTAAGTGAAATACAATACTTGTCATGTCATCAAAGGATAAGAATTTTGAAATATTTGAAAATGTTCCCTTTGGGTCCCCACTCTAACCCCTGGGGATGGGGCAGGAATTCAAAGTTTACAATGTGATACCGTCATCCACCAAAGATGATTCTGACCAAGTAAAAATAATTTCCAACAGAAAATTGACAAAATATGCCCAAAAGTGTTGTTTCCCTATATAAACTATAGTAAACTTTACCCCCTCCCCAAGGGAGAACGGATAGCTCGTGGGTACTGAAATTTACAATTTAAATAAAGCCCCTGATGATCTTTCCATCCATACAGAGAAAATGTCTGTAATACCTCTGAGTCTGGAGAGGAAGATTTTTGAAATATTGGCTAATTTTCCCTTTTGGGCCCCGCCCTGGCCCCTAGGGTTGGGGTAGGAATCCCAATTTTACAATTTAAAACCATCTTCCTCCTCCAAGGATAATTCTCACCAAGTAAAAATAATTTCCAACAGAAAATTGTCAAAATATACCCAAAAGTGTTGTTTCCCTATATAAACTATAGTAAACTTTACCCCCTCCCCAAGGGAGAACGGATAGCTCGGAGGTCCTGAAATTTACAATTTAAGTAAAGCCCCTGATGATCTTTCCATCCATGCAGAGAAAATGTCTGTAATACCTCCGAGTCAGGAGACGAAGATTTTTGAAATATTGGCTAATTTTCCCTTTTGGGCCCCGCCCTGGCCCCTAGGGTTGGGGTAGGAATCCCAATTTTACAATTTAAAACCATCTTCCTCCTCCAAGGATCATTCTCACCAAGTAAATATAATTTCCAACTGAAAATTGACAAAAAATACCCAAAAGTGTTGTTTCCCTATATAAACTATAGTAAACTTTACCCCCTCCCCAAGGGAGAACAGATAGCTCGGGGGTCTGGAAATTTACAATTTAAATAAAGCCCCTGATGATCTTTCCATCCATGCAGAGAAAATGACTGTAATACCTCCGAGTCTGGAGAAGCAGATTTTTGAAATATTGGTTAATTTTCGTTTTTGGGCCCCGCCCTGGCCCCTAGGGTTGGGGTAGGAATCCCAATTTTACAATTGGTAGCCTCATCTACCAAGGATGATTTTGACCAAGTTTGAAAAAATTCCATCCACTGGTTCTTGAGAAGAAGTTGATAATGTAAAAAGTTAACACACGACGATGGACGGAAAGTGATTGGAATAGGTCACTTGAGCAAAGCTCAGGTGACCTAAAAAGTAATTACATGTCAGGGACTGTGGTTCTGTTAGGAAGAAAATATCTAGGTCAATAAACCACAGTGTGCACATGCGAGTAATACACACAATACTCACCTGTTGCCCCAACTGTAGTAGCAGAGGCCGACAAACTGAAGCCAGTGTTGACTTGTGTTTTAGCTGCAGTGGCTGTCCCAAAGAGACCAGGAGACCCCAATGTCCCAGGGGTCCCACCAAGTGTTCCTGTTCCTATTCCACCAGAAGCTGCTGATCCTAGCAACCCTCCTGGAGTTCCGAGGAGAGAGGGGGCTGCCGTGCTTGTTGCTGGAGTGGCAGCGCCCCCAAAAGAGAAGCCAGTAGATTTGGTTGCGTTAGTTCCTAAGGTTTGAGACAAGAGGCTGGGGGGCTTGGTTGATGCAGGTGTACCAAACCCTGCCAAAGGAGAGGCAGCAGCCCCAGCCAAGCCCCCCAGAGATGGAGTAGCCCCTGACCCCCCAAAGGTCAAGCCAGTTGCAGGAGCGGCCGTCCCGAAAGTGGGTGTTGCTGCTGTGGCAGCCGTTGCCCCAGGAGCACCTGTTCGTAGATCAGTAAACAAAGGAGTCATATTAGAGTAAAACAATATATAACAGGAGCACCTGTTTGTAGATCAGTAAACAAAGTAGTCCTATTAGAGTAAAACAATACATAACAGGAGCACCTGTTTGTAGATCAGTAAACAAAGTAGTCATATTAGAGTAAAACAATACATAACAGGAGCACCTGTTCGTAGATCTGTAAACAAAGTAGTCATATTAGAGTAAAACAATATATAACAGGAGCACCTGTTCGTAGATCAGTAAACAAAGTAGTCATATTAGAGTAAAACAATATACCGTAAAAACCCATGTAATTTGCGCACCTATGTAATTTGCGCAGGTAATTTTTGAGGCTGAAAATCCCCCAAAAAGCTTCTACTCAAATTTTTTGCACACCAAAAAAAAAAGATGTTTAAGTTCCGAAAATCGATCTTTGAAAATGAAAGGCAAACCGCTTGGGAATCTTAGGATTTTTGTAATTTGTTTATTATAAGTAAGTTCATAAGTATTGTTTACAGGTACTTCGGACAGGTGAGCTTAAAATGTAATGGGACATATAGGTTCCCAAATGAGAAGTGGTTGGTTATTATGTTAATCTAAGTCAAGTTAATTAATTTTCAAATTGTATTAAGACACAACGTTTACTGACATGTCAGCTCTTCATGTTATTTTTGTTCAGTGTTTAACTACGTTTCTGAATTTGGACATTTCTCTCGTGATGTTGTTGAATTATGTGTCATTGCACTGTCCATCAAAATATTGCCAAAATAGCAATGTTATCGAAGCAGCCGTCTTATATCTGCAGACAGTCGTATGAGGGAGACATAGTTTGAGGCTTGTACAAGTCTATAACCGGTACATGTGAGTGATGTGACTTTTAAAAAAACTTCTTGTATCTTGTATTTGGAAGCTAAGCATTCGCATTCCCTGAAACTGAACCTATTCTATCAAAGTTGGATGCAATATGTTTGGTCATGGAGGTAGCATGAGGAATCGTATAAGGAGGCATGTCCTTAAATGACCTTAGCTGTTAAGTACGTTAAACAAAATTAAACCAAAATCTACAACATGACTGATCGAAATTACCTCATGCTGTGATCGAATTAACCCGTAATCGAATTAACCTGAATCGTTATTTAAACACATTTCCTTCGTTCAAAGCTGTAAATTAAAAAGGGGAACACCCAAAATGTTGAATTTTGCGAGTTTAGAGAAGTTTTCATTCAACCACAGGAGTCTGACGTTTAATCAATTTAAGTATAACAATCTGTATAAAAAAATACCCCTTATACTACAAGTTTTTATTTATAGCATAAGAGGTATCTTTAAAAGACACTCCTTGTACTATAAAAAAAACCATGTATAGTATAAGGGGTATTTTTTTATACAGATTGTTATACTTATATTGATCAAACGTCAGACTCCTGTGATAGGACCATTACCGAATTTGAATACGGGATCAAAAACAGACAGTCACGTGACCATCCAGAATGAGGGGAAAACTAAAGTGATCGAAGTTACCCAACTTTCCCCTAAAAGCCAAACAAACAAAATATATGTTCTGCTGTCACATATATCCTGGATGTGTTGGAGTAATACTGATGATGTTAAATGAATACATGTAAGATAGGGTTTCCATCATACGGATTCTATAGTGATCTAATACAAATCAACTTCGTTGGTCTTCCTTATTCATTATTTCATCATTGTTATCACAAAGACCTGGAACACAAAGACACTTGGACACTATATACACACACAGAACTCACACCAAATCGAATGCACCCTAGGTCACAGTCAGATACTCCTATATTCACACCAATACTATGTTTACCAGGCTTCCTGGTTCTTCGATGGCTATATAGTATGCTTAATAGCTATTAAGTACATCACATGATAATTTCTAGGATAGCTATTGGTTAATTACCCTTGTTCTTTTTGGTATAGTTAGCATCCGCCCTTGACAACGGGAACTATACCTTGAGACGGGCACTACACTTTTTTTTTGGACCGCTGAGACTGCGGGAAAAGTAGCGTGATGCTAAGAGTTGCGCTCCTTCTCCTAGAGGGCGCTGTACATATTCTACTTTCAATTCATTGTTGCCGTCTGCCAAAATGGCTTCGAATTTCGGGATCAGGAATGCTGATTGCTTCGCATAGGCTCAATAATGCATAAAGACGAAGCAGGCGACACCATTTGACGTCGCAGTCCTTAAAGACTTCCTACTGGAAAGGGGAACCATATGTGACCTAGCGGTGATTCAATCTAGTGAATTGAATACACAACTAAAAAGGAAAGATCTACTCAAAAAATTATCTTATTGCCATTTGTTGTTAATTATTAAATATGTTACTTTTTATTGTCAAATGACAGTCATGTGACGTACTAAATCTATTATGACCCTTTCCCTCAGGAACAGTTCTTTTATAGTGTTGTCTGGAGAGGTATAGTGCCCAGACAACAATATAAGAGAACAATTCCCTCGGGAAAGGGCCATACAATAGAATAATAGTATGCTAGAGTGGACAACTGACCCTCACGAGTCATAGACATTGAATGATCAGAAGAGGAAAAATCAGGTTTTACCAGGAAAGCTTAGTGCGCAGACGCAGAAAGGGGGAGAAATGCATGCCCCTGTCTGTAATAACGTCAAATGTCACTTGTCAGCACTTATCTATTCGATGAAGGGTGAATGTCTGAGGTCAGAGTAAAACCACAATATGATACATGAGTGCTGTTCATACAGGTATACAGGGAGACATCACATGACAATTACCTATACATACAAATACACTACAACCCTGGGTTACAAGTATACGTAGTTGCGACTAGATCCTTGACATTTTGCAGATTTCAGAAGACAAATACCATTTCCCCAGAGTTTTGAAATGATGATTCCACAGAATAATTTTCACTGACAAGTAATTATAATTTCAAATTGGATTTTATCTAGGTCCTTGTTTTAAAAGTTATTTTTAGATGAGGGGAATCCCTACCATCACATCCAAAATGGAGGATTTTAAAGTGAAGATTAACTGTGCAGAAATTAAAAGCCTTTCAATCTCCATACAAAATATCCACATAACATAAAACTTACCTGACGCTGGAGTTCCAAATCCTTTGAAGTTAAATCTACAAAAGCAAACAATACTGAAGGCTTCTAGTCTAAGTCAAAAGACTAAAATGGAACCAAATCGCGCATTTAGTCTTAGTCTTATGTACTGATTAGCATCTACGCGAAAATCGACAAATATATGTTAACACTTACTAATTACTAACAATTCTCCGAGAGGACATATATAATTTTCGTTATTTGGTACTTATGTGTAAAACGTAGCGTTAATTGAAGCCAAAAAGTCTTACCCGCCTCCAGTGTTCATCGTTGTTTAGTTCTCAAATAAGATCACGTGGGTCTGGGCAATTCTAATCAACAAATGCCGTCCGGAAAGAGAAATACAACAGCGCCGGCTCAAAATCAGCCACGGTCCTAGTGAGGGCACCTCAGCTGTTGGGCGACCCTGTCCCCTAGGAAAGACAAACTAGCCATATCCGGGACTATATCAAGTTCATAATTATATATGAACCAAAGAGCTTTTTTGTTGTTGTTTTTTGCCAACTTTTTGAAAATTGCATGGGGAGAATATTACGCGTACTCAGAGACGTATAATACGTATTATACGTCTCTGGCGTGCTCAAGAATTAAAAGCATAAATACGATGTGTGTTTGTATACCCAAAAACAACTTTTTTTAAATGGCATATTTTAAAGTTTTCATTCAGAAAAAGAATTCCGATATCAGAAAATTGGAATAGTTTGATGAATTCACTTGTTAAAAATACTCAAGTTTATGGTCCAAAATCGGAAGTCAACCTCCAAAATAGGGAGAGTTGGCAAGCATGCGTTTTTGTTGCTGTTTTTTCTGTTGTTGATTTTTTTGGGGGAGGGGGCAAACATCAACATTTTTCCTGCAACGTTAAATGTGATAACGTTTATATTATACAACCTAAAAACAAGAGGCCCAATGGGACTGAATCGCTCATCTGGTATCAATCTCACATTTTTAATCTTAAAAGAGGACTGATATACAGCTACAGTCAAAATATCTGTGTTCGATTATTTAGAATCTATCAAATGATTTAAACATATGAAGCCTGTGACATTGAAAGTCGAACAAGGACATTAAGTTGAACAGAGTTTATAGCCTTCCGTCCAATCATGCTTCTGGCAAAATAGCATTACCCTGGACCTTTTGAATATTCAGAACAAGTCATTTAAAGATTTAAACACATTTGATCTATGTGAATTCGAATATAAGCAAAGGTCATTCAGTTGAACAAACTTGATCGCCCTTCATCCCAGCACCTAACTGGCAAACTATCATAACCCTAGGCCTCTTGGTAATTCAGAAGAAGTCGTTTAAAGGTTTTAAACATATTTGGCCCCTGCGACCATGACTATCTGTCAAGGTCATTCGTTAGAACATACTTGGTTGCCCTTTTACTCAGCATGATACTGTCCAAATACCATCATTCTAAGCCGCATGGTTATTGAGAGGATGTTGTTTAAAGGTTTTAAACATATTTGACCCCTGTGACCTTGAAAATGGGCGAAGGTCATTTGTTTGAACAAACTTGGTAGCCCTTTATCTTAGCATGCTTCTGGCCAAATATCATTATCCTAGGCCTCTTGGTTATTCAGAAGAAGTTGTTTAAAGGTTTTAAACATATTTGACCCCTGTGACCCTTGAAAATGGGTGAAGGTAATTTGTTTTGACAAACTTGGTAGCCCTTTGTCCTAACATGCTACTGAGAAAATATCATCATCCTAGGCATTTTGGTTATTGAGAAGAAGTTGTTTAAAGGTTTATGATATGTTTGACCCCTGTGACCTTGAAAATTGTTGAAGGTCATTTGTTTGAACAAACGTGATAGCCCTTTATCCCAGTATGATACTGGTCAAATATCATTATCCTTGGCTTCTTGGGTATTCAGGAGAAGTTGCTAAAAGGTTTTAAACATATTTGAACTTTGTTACCTGGAAAATGGGTGAAGGTAATGTGTTTGAACAAACTTGGTAGCCCTTCATCCAAGCATGATACTGACGACCAAATATCATCATTTTAGGCCTTGTGGTTATTGAAAAGAAGTCGTTTAAAGATTTTAAACATATTTGATCCGTGTGACCTTGAATGAATGTCAGGGTCATTTGTTTGAACAAACTTGGTAGCCCTTTATCCGACTTTGCTTCTGGCGAAATATCATCACCCTAGGCCTTTTGGTTATTAAGAAGAAGTTGTTTAAAGTAAAATATTGACGACGGACGACGGACGCCGCACCACGGCATAAGCTCACTTGGCCTTTCGGGCCAGGTGAGCTAAAAATCGAAATTAATTATTAAGTAATCAGTTCATAACACAAATATTATTTCAGAGACCAGTTATACTGTATAATAAAAATAAATTTTCACATATATAAATCAATAATGGACATTAATAGCGAAAACCTGAAGAGAGTAATAATTGGAAGTTATTACACAAAAGAAAAAAGAGCAAGTTTTTAACAGCTTAGAGAAGAACTACGCTATAGGAAAGAAAACGTCGAAGAGGTAATGGTAAGAGGTAGAGAAATAGTAAAGGACACCAGAATCAAGGAAGTCAACAAGAATGTCCCACCCTTGCTAGAAAGTAGAAAATTGCAAGAAAAAACCGGAACAATACTTAAAGTGAGCAATCCATCCAGATCAAATGGAATCATAAGAAAGAAAACTGGTAATAAATATCAGGACGTTGCTCAGAAGATAACAAATCAGTAGAGAAGCAGAGAAACAGCCAGAAGCCACAGAACCAATACACTGGAAGCTGGTAGTATAGACGGAAGCAGTCGGAGTACAAGTAGAATTGGGTCCGTGCGGGACAAAGAAAATAGTCTAGAGGAAAGCGACAAGTCCGACGACTCCAATGCATCACCTTCCTTGCACATTCTACTCCAAGGTAATGAGAAAAACAACAGGTGGAATTGCACGTAGATCTGGAAATGAATAGGATGAAAGTTTTAACCAAACCATAGAAAATTATGATGTAAATTAAACTTTTTATATGTATATTTTAAGTACACTAAGAACTGTATATAGCAATGTAGATAGTCTGCTTAATAAAAGGCAGGAACTGGAAATGGTCATAAACGAAGAGGAACCTGACATAATAGTTCTTACAGACAGATGCCGAAAAACGGAAATCTCTAACTATTATCCTGTATGTTTAACAACTCAACAGAAAGAGCGAGCGGAGTTGTTTTTATTTATTTCCAATTCAACAGACCCAAGGGTCCACTTACAGAATAACACATGGATGTAACACAGACTAATATGTAAAACAAAAGGAATTATTTATAGCAAATATTCTTTAACCGTACTTTGAACTCGGCGAGAGATCTAGAGGAACGAAACATATCACAGTCTGGTGCAAAATCAAGAGAGTTAAAATTACATTGAATCCTGTTTAAAATACCATACTTTCTAACGCTTATTCTACTTCTCTGGCAGTAAAACTGGTTGAAACGAAGTGATCGTAGATTACGACCAGGGACTAAAAAACACATTTGCTTGACTAAATATGGACAATCAAAACATATTTGTAAAGAAATACACAGTCTAAAAATGCCCGCCTATGTACGAGGCTAGGAAGATTAAAATGCCTACAAGTGTCAGCGTAAGACATGGAATTGTAGTCAACGTGTGCATTAAAACTTAAAAATGAGTCATTGTATATCTGAAAAGTTTGCTTCATGGAACATGTATTTGGTTCTCAATCAAACTAAGGAGCAATGACAAACTTAATTATAATTGGAAGTATATAAAGGAGCAATAATGAACCACTACCTTGGGATCACATCTGATAATAGTAGGATATGTATACTATGGAGAAATAGCCTGGAAAAATATGGTGACCAGTACAGCAATAGGAATTGAGAGCTACACATCTATGGAAGCTCTACAGGATGTATGTCTGACACTATAATAAAGGAAACGCAAGATTTAGACACAAACGAAAAAGCTTCATTATTAGATCCTTTTAAACTACAGGTCAGTGAGTCTTACCTCAGTGATTGGAAAATGCATGGAAAAATGATCAAGGATCAAGGATGAGTTAATGAGGCACTTAGAGGAAGGGAATCTTTTGTAAGCACATCAATTTGGATTTAGGAAAGGAAAATCTACAACAACACATCTATTGGAAGTCCTGGAAATTATTACTAAAATTGTAGACGGAGGGGAATCCGTTGACATTGTGTATTTAGATTTCAAAAGAAAAAACATTTGAAACAGCACCTCACCAACGACAGTTAACAAAACTTGAACGATATGGAATTAGAGGGAACATTTTGAACTGGATAAGAGTGTTTTTAGAAGGAAGACAGCAAAGAGTCGCGGTAAATTGAAAAAATATCTAGTTGAGAAGAAGTAAAAAGTGGAATACCTCAAGGAAGAGTCCTAGGACCGATTTAATTCTTTATCTTTATAAACGATCTACGGGAATATGTCAAAACAATCATCAAATTATTTGCAGACGATGCCAAGTTGATCAGTAGAGCAGGCACTCTACTAGAAACACTCGGTAACTGGTCAGAAAAGTGGCAATCGAAATGCAATGCTGGTAAATGTAAATCAGTACATACAATAATGGAATAGTCAACAGTAGGAAAGAAAATGAGCCAGAACAAATTTGGAGCAATTTGAGGAAGAAAGGATTTGGGAGTGACGTTTGAAAGGAACTTGAAATTCAACAAACAAATATCAGAATGTATGGCGAAAGCTAACAGGAGGACAGATGTGATCAGAAGAGCATATGCAAATATGTACAAGGACATTTGCCGACGAGTCATTCGAATCTCTTCTGGATTGTTAAATCAGCCAATAGTCGCACCAAAGGCAGCTAATACCTACCGAAAGTGGTTCTTAACTCGGATATCAAAAACTACTGTGACTGCTCATCGCATTTTAACATTCAGATAATCAATATCAACTTCCGGAGGAAGTTATCAAGACAGCGATTTGGAATTAATTTCAAACCAAACGATGGGACATTCATATGGTGACCAATGCCGCCAGGCAGCAGATGTCAATCGGAAGTCATGCGGACATTTTCGTTATAATAAGACGTCACGTCCAAAAGACCCGAAAAGTTTCAGAATGAAAACATTCACTTGATAGATAAAAAGCCAGTTCAACAGAATAGTAAATATTATTTATTTAATTGTTAATAGTAAAGCGTAACTGGATGGAACTGTCATAAATACCATTGTATCATTGGTTGTATTTATTGGTAAATCATTAAAATTTTATGATTTCAAAGTAACATGGTAATAAGTGTCAATTAATTAGGTAAATACATATAAATTTAAACTCGGTTTTATTTTCTCTTTCTTTAGTTACGACGCATGCAAAAGCGTTGGAGCAATAGTTA